GTTCTTATCACTTTATCGCTATCACGGCATTTGTCTTCGACAAAGAATTATCTATAAGAATTAATTAATGGCATTACATTTCCTGCGATTAAGCGCAAGCAACATTGCTCTTCTTCCGCGTATTGAGCAATTATTTGTCGATTATTCTAATCATCGATTTAAAAGTTATTTTAGTCACAGGAGCGAAATTTGAACTTAAATTAATTAATGTGGTAAGTACAATTAATCGTCGCTGATAAATTTTAAGTCTTTTATAAAACTAAACTCAAATGTTTTTTTAGTTATTGAATTCATAGTATTTATGTTATATGCACTAAAATTATTTATATTATTTATTTACTTTTATACAGGTATTTAGACACGGTCGGATACCCGACAACAATGGACATGAAATGTATCCAAACGATCCGTATTTAAATTATTCTTTTTTTCCGGAAGGCCTAGGAAGGCCAGTTCACTAATGTAAGCAGTATGTCACATTTTTATATTGTCCGAAATAGTGTAAACAGGATAAATTAAAATTTATTAAATTAAATTAATTTTCGCAAAATTGAACAAAAAATTTAAATTTAAAAATTTTAAATTTTAAATTTTAAATTTTAAAATTGTGCATCCATTAAAAATATTTTTAATATTGCAATGCTTGTTAGATACAAGATGACGTAAATTTAATTAAATATCGTTTTTGCTGTAATATAATTAATGTAATTTATCAGCAGGGAAAGATGCGTGAGTATGAGTTGGGGCAAGTCTTGCGGGATAGATATAATAATTTTTTGGGAGATTTATACCTGCCAAAACTTGTCATGGATCACAGCTCGGATTGTGATAGAACGAAAATGTCTTTGCAACTGGTTCTCGCCGCTATATTTCCGCCAATAAATGCCCGGCAACAATGGAACCCAGTATTAAATTGGCAACCGATTTCTACAACGTACGTGTCACGTATTGATGACAATTTCTTCTTCACTTTTGAATGCTCACGGTAAATATGATTGACCCTAACAGAAAACAAAAAAAAGTGACAAACTAATTATTATAATAATATAAGAAATTATTTAAATGGAATTGAAATACAAATCTTGTGGTAGATATTATTGATAGAAAAACTTTTAAATATTTTACAAAATGTTAAACATTTTATTTTAACATTTAGTATCCTCAATTATACAGTGTAGTTAAGAAAAAAGGATAGAAGTAAAATTGAATGTGAAGCATTCAAAAATTCAAGCGAATGGAAAGAATTGTATTTAAGACTTCCTTTACTTTTAGATGTCTCGAAGAATACGATCGCGTACTCAGTTTGCCCAAAACGCAAAAAATAATATTCCAGTTCAAGAATCTAACGAGCGAATTAACGAAGCTAACTGGCAAAAAGATTGAAACGCCTTGGGACCTGTTTTACTTGTATCAGACTTTTGCAGCAGAGTCGTCTATGAATCTGACACTTCCTGAATGGGCGTACAATTACTTTCCGAACGGTCAACTATACGATGCGGTCATAGTTGCATACAATATTTTCAATTTTACTCCTTTATTGAAAAAGCTACATGCTGGTGAGTTATATTTAAAATTTTATTATTATAACATTTGCGATATCTTTTTTATAGCACTGCATTGTTCTTTAATAGTGTCCCAATAATTCGTGTCATATTGGAAAATATGCTCACCGTAAAAAAAATCAAGCATTAAAATTTATTTATATAGTGGTCACGACGCTAATGTTGCAACGTTGTTACATGCATTCAACGTGTACAAACCTCATGTATCTCAGTACTCTAGCGCAATTATTCTAGAATTGTTACAACAAAACGAGGAGTATTACGTAAAGCTAGGTGCATTATGATAAAAATATTTTTGAAGCAATAATACAAACAAAAAAGGAGAAATTTTTATTTAAAAACTTAATCAGATTAGAAGTATAGAACAAAATCTTTTAATATATTAAAAATTAATATTAATTTTTATATGTATAAGTAATAATTTTTAAGACTATCATTTGAAAATACTTTTAAACAAAAAATTTGAAATTATCTATCAATGAAGATGTATCACGGATGTGTCGTAATAATTTTTCAACTTTTAAGTTATCGATTCCACCAATCATTGATGAACTTAACATCCAAGGATGCGATATTGCCCTTTCGATAAGTTTTTGGATTTAACTCAAGACTTGATCCCATCTGACAAGGAACTGACTTGCGACAAAAGGCAGACTTCAGATTATGAAAATACACTATATCCTGTCGCTTTAGAAAGTATAACATATAATTTAATAAGATCAGTTCAATAAAAATGATAACGATAATGCTAATTGCAATGTAAGCACGTATCTTACTTTCTAAATATATAGTTTTTAATTAATAACTTGATATATTTATTTGATTATTTCTATTCCTTTCAATTATCCTCCAAGCTTTATTTACACGAGACTTTATTAATGCATAAAAAAAAAATATATATATATATATATATGGGACATATAAAAAGATGTTCTAATGTTGTTGCAGTTGCATTCATAGAGGCTTATATTCATCAACATTTTTATTAATTTCCTGAACTCAAAGCTGCATTTAAATATTCAACACGCATTTCCGGCCGTAAATATTACTATATTATTATACTTCATTTCTTGACACAAATATTTACAATAATTATTTAAGAGCAATATTTATTTAAGAGCAATATTTACGTTTAAATATTTAATAATATGTATATATAATAGATACAACAGTATTCGAATCAGATTTAAATCAGAATCTGATTGCATAAACTTGCAACTAAAATTGTATTCGATTCAACTACTCGTTATTATTTTAAATCAATTAATTTATGTTGATCCGATTAATTTTATTACTGTATAGGATTGCAATGGAAAACTACTTTCTGCTATTATGTCAATGGAAGAGTTGCTTATACTTTATGATGTATTTAAAAGAAACGAGTTTAAACATGTAATCCTTATTTGTCTTTTACTGTAACATTGCACATTTATTTTATATTTGATGCAAACGAGCTCTTTATTACGAACAAAGGAACAAAATTTTTTATGTATATGTTTACACCTATTTACACAAAATTCATCATTTTTATCAATCATTTTTATCAGTTTATCGTTATCACGGCATTTATCATTCTCGAGAGAAAATTAACTATAAGATTAATGGCATTACATTTTCAGATTAAGCGCTAGCAACATGCTGTCGTTTCGTGTATTCGCCAACTATTTGCCGATTATTTTAACCATCGGCTTAAACTCTCTTCTAGTCACAGGAGCGAAATATGAGCTTAAGTTAATTAATGTAGTAAGTATAATCGTCGTTGATAAATTTTAAGCCTTTTATAAAACTCAAATATTTTTTTAATTATTAAATCCATAGTATTTATGTTGCACTATAATTATTTATATTTTACTTTTACATAGGTATTTAGACATGGTGACCGGACACCTGACAACAATGAAATGTATCCAAACGATCCGCATTTAAATTGTTCTTTCTTTCCGGAAGGCCTAGGACAATTAACTAATGTAAGTAGTACGTTGCATTTTTATGTTGTCCGAAATAGTGTAAACAGGATAAATTAAAATTTATTAAATTAAATTAATTTTCGCAAAATTGAGCAAAAAATTTAAATTTAAAAATTTTAAATTTTAAATTTTAAATTTTAAAATTGTGCATCCATTAAAAATATTTTTAATATTGCAATGCTTGTTAGATACGAGATGACGTAGGTTTAATTAAATATCATTTTTGCTGTAATATAATTAATGTAATTTATTAGCGGGGAAAGATGCGTGAGTATGAGTTAGGGCAAGTCTTGCGGGATAGATATAACAACTTCTTGGGTGATTTCTATCTGCCAAAACTCGTCATGGGTCAGAGTTCGGATTATGATAGAACGAAAATGTCTTTGCAATTGGTTCTCGCTGGTTTATTTCCGCCAATAAATGCCCAACAACAATGGAACCCAGTATTAAATTGGCAACCAATTCCTACAACGTATGTGTCACGTCTTGACGATAATTTCTTCTTATCTGACGAATGCCCACAGTAAGTGTAACTGATTCTAACAAAAGAATTGAAAAAATGACAAATTAGAAATTATTTAGATGGAATTGAAGTACAAATCTTGTGGTACATATTACTGATAAAAATATTTAAAAAATTTTTAATATTTACAAAATATTAAGACGTTGGTAGCCTCTATTATATATTGTAGGTATGAAAAAAGGATAGATAGAAACAAAATACATTCGAAATTACATAGCGTGCGAAAAGAATTGAATTTAATTATCTTTTTTACTTTTAGATTTCTTAATGAATACGATCGCGTACTCAGTTTAGCCCAAAACGCAAAAAATAATGTCCCAATTCAAGAATCTAACGAGCGAATTAACGAAGCTAACTGGCAAAAAGATTGAAAAGCCTTTGGACTTGTATTCCTTATATCACACTTTTGTAGCAGAGTCATCTATGAATCTGACACTTCCTGAATGGGCGCACAATTACTTTCCGGACGGGCAACTGTTCGATGGGATCGTAGCTGCATACAATATTGCAAATTCTACTCCTTTATTAAAAAGACTATATGCTGGTGAGTTATATTTAGAATTTTATTATTATACCACTTGCGACGTCCTTTTTATAACATGTATTCTTCATTTTTAGGTCCGATAATTCGTGCCATATTGAAAAATATGCAAACTGCGAAAAAATCAAATCAGTCAAATACTAAAATTTATTTATATGGTGGTCATGAAACTAATATCGCATCGTTGTTACACGCATTCAACGTGTTCAAACCTCATGTACCTGAATACTCTAGCGCAATTATTCTAGAATTGTTACAACAAAACGAGGAATATTATGTAAAGGTAGGTGTATACGTATACGTATACGATATACGGTAAAAATATTTTTAAAATAATAAACAAACAAAAAAGGAGCAATTTTTATTTAAAAAAATGAATCAAATGTATAAAATAAAAGCTTTCAATATAGATACATAAAAAATTATTATTAATTTTAGTTCTGTGTAATAATTAAGCCTATGTTTTGAAAATATCTTTATACAAAAGAATTATCTATTAATGAAGAAGTATCACAGATTTGTAATACATCTTCATTAATATTAATATTTTATGTCGTAATAATTTTTCAGCTTTTAAGTTATCGGGGCATTCCACCAATCATCGACGAACTTATTATCCAAGGTTGCGAACTATATTGCCCTTTCAATAAATTTTTGGATTTAACTCAAGATTTGATCCCATCTGACAAGGAACTGATTTGCGATAAAAGGCAGACTTCAGACTATGCAAATACACCATATCTTGTTTCTGTGGAAGGTACAATGTACAATCTAATCGTAAGATAAATAATAATGCTAATGTAAATGTAAATACGTAAAACACATAAAACTTTTTAAATATATAATTTTTAATTAATAATTTGATGTATTTATTTGATTATTTTTATTCCTTTTATTTATTTATTTCCTCCAAGTTTTATTTTCATGAGACATTATTTATACA